GAATTTTCGGGCGTTCTTCCTGTCGGCCAGCATCTCAAGCTCTTCGCACTCACGTATTTCGGCCTCTCTCTTCTTATTGCGGCAAATACGTCTCGCTTCCTTCTTCAGTTCCCTATAACGGTCCCACATGGCTCGCGTTGCGCCCGATCGCAGCGTGGCCCTGTAGGCGGCATCTTTTTTCTCTGCGGCTTCTTGAAATTGCTCATCGTACCAGTTGTTCTTTCGGGCTCGCTGAAATCCAACTACTTCTTCGGCGGCGGTACTTAATGATCGGGAAATGTGGTTCCACTGCTCGCGTATGTCGGATTGTTGAAGAGTGCTCTCAGAGAGCAGGTGTGTGAGTCGAGTGGCGAATAAATTGGCCGTCTGTTGTGATTGCAGCTTTTCGACGTTAAGCTTTACTTGCATTGTTGGGCGCACATTTTTTGCTGCACAGAGGCGGGAGCGTATCTTGGCTACAACAAGATAGTGGTCCGAGTCGATGTTTGGCTCTCGGAGTGTACGTACGTCCAAAACGCTTGAAGCATGCCTTCCGTCTATCACAACATGATCGATTTGGTTTCTCGTTTTTCGATCTGGAGACAGCCATGTAGCTTGGTGGATGTTCTTATGCTGGAACCTAGTACTACATATTACCATATTTCGAGCCCCGGCGAAGTCGATCAGCCTCAGTCCGTTATCGGACGTTTCGTCGTGGAGGCTGAATTTTCCGACAGTGGCGCCAAAGATCTCTTCCTTGCCCACCTTAGCATTAAAATCGCCAAGCACGATTTGACATCGTGTCGGGGGCAGCGCTCATATGTACGTTCCAAGCGCTCATAGAAGAGATCCTTGGACGCCTCATCCTTCTCTTCCGTCGGGGCATGGGCGCAGATGAGCGAGATGTTGAAGAATCTAGCTTTGATGCGGATTGTGGCTAGACGTTCGTCCACCGGGGTGAACGCCAGTACTCGGCGACGGAGTCTCTCTCCTACCACGAATCCAACACCGAATTTACGCTCCTTTACGTGGCAACTGTAGTAGACGTCGCAAGGCTTCACGCTTACTTTTCCTTGCCCCGTCCATCGCATTTCTTGGATGGCGGTGATGTCAGCCTTTGTCTTCCCGAGGACATCAACCAGCCGGGCAGAGGCACCTTCCCCATTAAGGGTCCAGATATTCCAGGTGCATACCCTTAAATCATAGTCCTTTATACGTTTGCCGTGGTCGTCATCAGAAAAAGGGGGTCTCATCCGAGGCTGTTTTTTTTTTCTTTTCATTGGGCGGGGTTTTAACGTGGCAGGACCCAAACCCAGCGCACGCGAAGTTTTACCCCTTCTCACTTTAGCTTGCTCCCAAACGGGTGTTTGGTTGCTACCCAGAGGATACGTGGATATAAATATCCGGACGTTGTGAGCTGCGATTTGAACCGTACGCACAAGAATCGCTTCTGGCCACTCCCAGGTGAATGGCAGTCAAAAGTTTTCCACTTCTGCGCACGGAACCATCCTCCACGTATGTACGTATGTATGTAAATATATTCACCACTAGGGTGATCTTTTCTTTTTTAACTTAAATTATTAATTTATTATTTTTAATTAATTTGCTACGCTATGTATATCCTTTTTGTTACTTAAATTTCCACTTAATTTTTTTCGCGCACTAAAACTTAACCACTACACTTATCTGGTATCGTCGATACGCTCGCCTGCGTTCAACAATTATCCGTCGGGGTCCGTTCGCACCAAACACGAAAAAAAATCCGGATAGCCGATTCCGCTCCGATAATACTCCGTCCCGTATTATGAAAAAACGTCCGGCCACATGCTATCAAAATAATAAATAAAATAAAATTAACGAAAATTGAAGTAAGGAAAAAACCAAACTTTGCAATAAAAAGTTCCCACGTTGGGCGCCAATTTGTCACCTTACTTTTTGCTACCAAAAGTAGACCTACCTAATGTACCAAAGCAATGATTTTTGCACAGATGCGCAGCAGAATGATTTGCACAATGATTGTGTTGCATGGGGTTTTTTACGCTGAAAAAACCGAAAGGGGCGTACAGTGACACTGGTGGGCCAAATCTCAGGATTCAACAGCTTATCAATTGAAGTTTCCTCGACTCCAAGCTTGAAGTTGATGTATTTCAAGCTACTAGCTGAGGTTCCTTTCTTAATTAGTGAGTCGCACAATAAAGAGCTCTTTTTAATTCCAGTGTGGTTTTCAATGTACGCTTTCACATCATCTGTAGTTACCGACGGCATAAAAGAAGAGAGATGAATCCACCTTATCTGCGCAGCAACTTTCAATTCCGCATTTGTGTTAGAGCCAACAACACGCATTTCGTTCTTTCTATTGCCTTACCTACGTGTAACATTGACCCAATTGTATTTTTGTGCATCGGACTGTGAAGCAGCACTAGTTGTCATCTCCACATTAGACGAGTCCGAACGAAGGCCAGAGCTTCCCAACAAAATGCTCTCATGAGCGACTGTATTATTACCAGCCACACACATACCAACACTTGAACTGGGCAACGTAGAGAACTGCTCAGCGGACAGCATAGGCAAAGGAGACGATGAAATTTCGCCAGAGGCCGAGTAATTGTTGAGAGAGTGCTGATTGTTCGGTCGAGGATCATCAGCAGCAGCAGCTACACCCACACCATCACCTGTAGTAGGCAACGCAGGCAATTTTGTAGGCATGAGAGTTAATAAGGTTTTACCGACGGCATCAGCAGCAGCAGCTACACCCACACCATCACTTGTAGTAGGCAACGCAGGCAATTTTGTAGGCATCAGAGTTAACAAGGTTTTACCGACGGCCGATTGTTTGTTGGGAATTTGTACATTGTCAGGTTGAGGCGAAAACGCAGCAGCTGATAGAGCGTTATCAGCAGCAGTTGAAAAGCCATCAGTACGATCAAAAGAAAAAGGAGGGAGGGTAGAATTAGATGAATTTATTTCAACGATTGCTTCTTTACCCTCACCCAGCTTCTCCAAAGCAACACTAACAGCAGAACGTAGATCATTAACCTCAGTTGTTAGCAGACTTATCATGCCATCTTTTTCGCAAAGGTTTTTCTGCAAGGACAGGAGATCAGAATGCATGCTTTCCACTTTTTTTACCAGATTAATATTGCTTTCATGCAGCGCCGCAATGAGTTCTTGCAAACGCACATTCTCCGAGCGTAGTGACACAATTGCATTGAAAACCGAATCCAACGATATTAGTTGATTGTTGTTATTAGAATTCTCGTTGAGTTTACCAGAGGTAGCCGATTGTGACTTGGCAGCAGGAGCAGCAGTAGATTTAGCAGCCTTTGATTTGTTGTCGGCAGAGTTAGCCGATTGTGACTTGGCAGCAGTAGCAGCAGTAGATTTAGCAGCCTCTAATTTGTGGTCGGCTGGCCGATCACCATCAGCATAGGGCGGTGGAGGCGTACGAATAGACTCCCGGCGTGCATTAGCACAGCTGTCGCAATAGCAACTCTTTCCAGCGCTAAGTAGGAATTCAAGTTCGGATGAACGCATACCAACGTAAACGAAGTGGAAGAGCTCATTACACTTCGCGCACTGCACTTTAGATTGCAAGCGATCGAATTTTTGTCCACACGAACAAGGCATAATTAATTTGAAATTAAAATATATTGATTGGATTTTTAGATCACCCAAAGAGTCACTATCTCAGTATTTAATGCGATTTCGACATTGAAAAGGCAAGTAATTGATTGTAGTCAGTTAAATCACTATTACATATGTAGGTAGATTGAAATTTAAATTGCGGAGTGAAGAAAAATACGTCCACTCTAACCGACAGCTCAACTACTACGAAATTAACAAATATACGCGCAAAAAGGAAGTGAGAAAAAAAATTGCAACCGACTGACTCAGTGGAGACGGAGGGGTTGCTTGAGGGGGAACAACAAGGCAATATACAAAATACTTAGGGCAAATGAAATTTAAAGTTGGAATAACAACAATTGCATGAGGGACCGGCATCAACTATTAACAATTAGCAAACTACCTACAAATATGACTATTAGGGTGAGCCCAAAAACTATGGAACAAATCACTCAAAATTCAAGGCAACCCAAAGAACTATATGACAAAACAAACTAAAACAAAGAGTCAAAAACGCCAAAAACAAAACCTTGTTTGTTGGTGCAGCCGACGCGAGGTCCAACCAAAAGGTTACGAACCCACTCGCAATACCACCCAAGCTGCCGGGGGTAACTTTAACCCGCCTGAAAGGAAGGAATAGGGAACACAATAGGGGAAAACTACCGACAACTCTATTAAGCCAAATACAGGCAACAACACAGAGGATACTTATGCTGTGGTCGGGGTGTGCGTCGACAACTGGGTGCTCCTGCGGGGCTGGGCCGCCCAAATCCGATACCGACTCCGCGCTTTGCCACCTCGACTGGGACCAGTCTTAAAATTTTCCTATCCAACCAGGCTAAGTGCCTCTCCTGGCACTTCTCAAAACTATCACAAACACTGTACCGCGACTGGTACCAACACACATATTTTTATGAATATCCGATCACTCTAAATACAATTTCGCACACAATAGGGATCTTTCCCTGTTCAATGCTCCCTTAGTTCTACCCCGGCGCGCAGCTACAAGTTGGGCCGCAACCTACGCGCCGGTCCGCAAAACCATCGGGCCTCAGTGCTGGTGTTGCTGTTGCTCGATCAACTGGCGCCGGCCCGTTAATTCTTAAAACGAATTGAGCGCTTTGGCGGTCGCCACCACGGCGCACACAAACAACCACCATGGACTTTGCCATTGCCATCATTCGGTAAACAACACAAGTGCGGCGATAAGAGAAAAAGGCGACGCCCCTATTGTGGGTTTTCGCGTTATCTCTTCTTCCTACCCTTTTACTATTCTTCTTAATTACGAAAGAACATCTGTGCACTTCACAACGACATTTTATGACGTACATACTCAAATTTGAAACGAGTTGGGTTGGTGCTCTTTCATATGCGTGTTTTTTTAAATTTAGCAATTTTTTTTTAATTCTAAAATTTTGTTCCCTCAGTGCATTGATAAAGAGCAAGGCTGACTTCCAAAACGTAAATTTCTTTGCATACGTACAAAGTATAATGTTCCATAACGCCGAACTACAAAACTACAAAATATTGACAATGTATACTGTTCCAAAACGCATCTGGTTACCATTGTTGTTTTAGAAATGAAAAATTCAGAAAAATTTTTCATTGTGTAGTGCATTATTGATAGTCAAACCTAAGTGTAAGCCTAAGCTAGTTTATTGTAACCTGTTCAATTATTGTGAACGGGCCACTATAATAATCAAATGGCGAAAAGAGCGAATAAACGGCAATTGGCAATCGACATTTAAAGCGTGTGGACGTGCTTCACTACAACGTCAGGTGTGGTACGAGCCAAACTTAAATAAAAGAGTAAATTACTTCCGAATACTTCCGATTTAATAACTAAAGCTGCCGTAAAGAAAAATGGTTGATTAAAGTGCCGCGAAATGGAAAACAACGCGAAAAACAAAATTGCACAAGCGATTACGGACACGGGCGTCACTGTGCGTAAGTCAGCAACGGAGGAGGAAGTCAGGTCACTCCTACACGACATAGTGGGAGCACCACCGCGTTCTCAAAACATCCGCAGCGCTGATCCAGCACGCGGAGCCCCAGCAGCAGAATCGCAACAAGGCGCAAACAATGTGCGAAATCAGCAGCAAAAATCGCCGTGTAATCCTAACGGCGACAAGCCGTTAGGCGAGAGGAACGGTAGTAACGACGAAGGTGACATTGAAGGCGCACGTGGTACAGTACACGGCGACGATTTTAAGTTGGAGGAAGTACGCAGCGATAGGGATGCCGATATGGGGGTGAATACGCTGGATGAGTGCTTACAAATGCTGCGGCTTAAGAAAGCCTTAAATGACTTTCCCACATTCAATTGCAAAAAAAAACCAAATACATATAACTACTCGTTAACGGATATTGAAGTCTTAGTGCCAAAATTCAGTGGAGATGATGACAAAGATGTGCGTAAGTGGGTCGACGAATTCGAGTATGCAGCTAATACGTATGGGTGCGACGATGACCGGAAACTTCTGTTAGCACGTCAACTACTAACAGGGAGTGCAAAAATGCTCGCCGAAATTGTGCCACGTACATGGCGCGAACTGAAAACGCACTTAAGGGACGAATTTGCGAAAATTCCTAGCTACAGAGACACCGTAAAAACGCTTGAAGCTCCATCAGCGACAACGACTTGGTGGAGTTTATAGTTGAAGGTTTGCGAGACAAAACCGCATGCGTCTCAATTTTGTATTGCGTAACAACATTGACGGAGCTGAAAAAAATTTTACCCAAATACGAAAAATTGATTAGCAACGTGGGTGAGCAAGCAGCTAAAGCTGAACAACGAACGCAACAAATTAGAAGCTACACTTGCTCTGCATATGGACATTATTCAGCTGATTGTAAGAAACCTAGACGACAAAAGGGATCGTGCTTCATCTGCGGAGAGTCGAACCATCTACATGGCAGCTGCCCGAAGAAGGTTGTTTGTGCAGTTTACGAGGACGACCAGTGGGAAGAGGTTAACTTTAAGGAAATGGTGAGTGTTGCTTTGAATAAATCATTCAGAACGTATCCACAATTTAGTTTATTCCCTTGCATGTTCGATACTGGCAGTCCAACTAATTTCATAAAGAAGTCTTGGTTTAACGCAAATATACTCCAATACGCAGTTAAGCAGTTCACCCAATATAAAACCTTAAGAAATACAAATTTAAATTGTTTCAGGGAAATTAATTTACTTATGAAATATCGTTACATTGTGAAGTTTTTGAGTTTTTCAATTTTGGCGGACGACGCTATGCCGTGTCCAATAATCTTAGGAAGAGATTTTTTACGTTCATTCAAAATTTACCTTTGTATTAAATCAAAACAAATCGAAAACAATAAAAATAAATTGAATTCACAAAAAGATAAAACCATTGAAAATGCTACTTATTATGATAACGGAAATCCAAAAAATCTTTTAGAGGTCGACACATTTAAGGAAATCTGTAGCATCGAATTAAATAACGACGCAATAAATGTTAATCAAAGGTTACCGCTGGTCGCATTACCCGGTGGGCCCTAGAGTTCGAATATTTTAATTATACAATACAGGTTCCGTGCAGGAACAAAAATGGCTCACGTGGATGCCCTTAGTAGGTACCAAGCAGGACACAGACTTCCGATTTAAAAAGAGTCAGCTTGAGAAAGAACGGACTAGTCTACAAAAAGGATAAGGGCAACCTTTTATTTTATGTCCCTCAGGAATTGGAACAGGAAATAATACGAACCACCCACGAAAATATTGGACATCTCGGCATTAAGAAGTGTTATCAAAACATAAAGACGAATTATTGGTTTCCGGACATGAAAACTAAAATAAATAAGTTTACGAAAAATTGTATACGATGTATAATGTATTCGCCACCACTGAAAACAAATGAAAGGGTACTACGCAACATCCCAAAAGAACCCGTGCCGTTCCATACATTTCACATAGATCACCTAGGGCCGCTACCATCTTTGCAATCCAAGCGAAAACATATTTTAGTTATAGTAGACAGTTTTACAAATTATGTCAAATTGTACCCAGTGCTCACAACGAGCACGAAAGAAGTTAACGCGTCTCTCAGCAAATACTTCGAATACTATATTTGCCCTGACAGATGCATCACAGACAGGGGAAGTTGTTTTACTTCCAAAGACTTTTCCGAATTCATGGAAAGTAAAAATATACAGCACATTAAAGTCGCAGTCTAATCGCCACAAGCTAATGGCCAGGCGAGAGGGTTAACCGCGCCCTAGTTGGTATGCTCGCGAAATTCAGTGAACCAATCCAACATGCAGATTGGGTAAAACATATTGCCAAAATCGAGTTTGCTCTTAACAACACTGTTAACAGGTCTATCGGTATGACACCTAGTCAAGCATTATTTGGAGTAAGCCAGCGAGGCCCTCTGGTTAATAAACTGACAGAATACCTAGAGGATTGCCTTTCACAGAGGGCGAGGGATAATATAGAAACATTACGTTAGATTGCAAGCCAAAATATTGAAAAAGTACACCAATACAACCTAAAGCGTAGTGAGTTACGAAATATTACCGTGAATGAGTTTCAAGTAGGAGACTTTATAGTAATTAAGAACGTAGACACGACAGTAGGAACCAACAAGAAACTTCTGCCCAAGTTTAAGGGACCCTATGTGCTACATAAACGACTTCCGAATGATCGGTATGTTATCAGGGATATCGAAAACTGCCAGATCTCCCAGATCCCGTATGATGGGGTTGTAGAAGCATGCAATATTAAAATGTGGAAAACAAACTCTGAGAATCAAAGCAACGCTCAGCAATTATGTTAGCAAATTTAGATAGTATAGTCAATTAAAACTATAATAATCAAATGGCGAAAAGAGCGAATAAACGGCAATTGGCAATCGACATTTAAAGCGTGTGGACGTGTTTCACTATAATTGCTATATTTAATATTTAAAATATGCAATGTATATGGTTGCAATGTGTCGCAACTCTGCATATAAAAACAGTTTAAATACCGCAGTATAATAGTTTCCAAACATTGAATTGATACGTTTTGGAAGGCAACCCAACCTTCGACATCTGCGATATCTATCCAATCCGTTCTTTAGTATATATAATAACACTGTGCTCCGATCTTGAACTTTTTTCTTGAGAACAGGTTTTGATAGTTCATCGAAGGGATGTTGCGAATGTGGAATTTTAGACATCCGCGGATGCTAATGCGAATGTCAAGTATTTTT